ATTGAGGAATTTCATTTGAGTTTGCTTTAAGGGGAAGGGCTGTGCTCTTCCCACCCAGAAGTTTGTTTGCTCTCGAAATCTGTGCAATAAACACACACGTGTCGAGCTCCCACTGCAAGCAGCGCTGCCTTCTGCTGCAAATGTCACAGCATTGCTTTTGGTGACAGCAGAGGATTTTGGTCAGTCTGAGACTGTGCCTTTGCTTTCAGGTCAGCATGTGAACTGCTGACATGCAGTGTTATAACTACACCAAAGTTTCCATGTTGGCACGAGGGCTGCAGCACAGCCCGGGTCTGGCATAGAGAAGACGTGTGGGATTTCAGAAGCAAACCTCTTCTTCATCCCAAAATAAAGACATGAGGACATGGAATACAGCCTCACGCTCCCATGGGCGGAGGGGCTTTCCTTCTGCCCTTCCCGACCCGCTCCGGTAGAGCACTGCCCCAAAACACAGCACGCAGTGTGTGCTCTGAAAATATCCACAGCCCATTGAGGCCGATCCCAACGTTTGGCAGATTCCTGAGTTCAGGAAATTCCTTGAGAGTTCGGGAAGCCCTCCAAGCCGAACCCGAGCTATTTCACTTGCAGCAGATATCGAGTTCTCCTCCTCTTTTGTTTTTTTGGTGGTGGGTCAGTGGGACTTTGGCGAGCGCGTGAGAATAAGAGCAGCAAAACAGTGAGGAAGGCCAAGGGCAGACGCAGGGCTGCAAGAACAGCTGCTTGCAAAGGGAAGCGGAGCAGCCAAGGCTCGGCTGCGCGGTCCCAGTGCTGAGCAGGGCTGGAGGCAGCCCAGCAGGTATCGGTTACGCTCTTCCCCGCTCCTTCGCGCGTGCAGAAAGCACTGCCTGTTATTGATGGCTGCTCTCACTGCACACGCTGCAAGCGTGATGCTGGGTCAGCCCAGAGGATGGGGCAGGGCTAGGGGCAGCCGGCGGGACCATCACACCCTGGGCTCAGCACACCCAGCCAAACTGCCTTTCGGCTCCAGCTCCTGCGGGTGGGATGCCGGGCAGCCCCTGGGCTCTGCAAGACGGTCATAGACAGTGCTTGAAGGTCATAATTAGCTCTGCTGTGCCTTGGCACTGGCTTCTCAATGACAGCAAAAAGGTCAGTTCATACTAGTGTCCTTCATTATTCCCCAGTTCTCAAAGGAGAAGTATTTTCTTTCCGCTCCTGTGGTATTTTTCTTCCACCATGTGCAGCAGTGAGGTCATCGAGCAGGGCTTTATGGCAAAGTCCCTGGGCTGCTGCCATCAGCTAAAGTAAAGGCAGGAGATGGCCCAGCTGAGTGCGCTGCCAAGGAGGAACATGGACCTTCCCAAGAGCCGGAGGCACAGCTCTGCAGAGCACATCCGCTCTCAGCACAGGACCCAGCCAAGCCCTGGAGAAGCGATCAGATTCATTGGTTTGCAGCATTTCCTTAAACCAAAACACCAGGCTGCCACTCTTGCCACTTGTAGTTAAACATTCCTCACACTGGTAACAGTCTTTAGGCAAAAGCATTGTGCGGGAGAGATGGAAAGGGCCACCCAAAGTCCTCTGAACCCCTGCAGCAGCATGGAAGGGATGGAATTATTTGGCTAGCTCACAAGGCTGCCTTCTGCTGCAGACCTCATGTAGGATATGGCAGAGCTGCTTTGGCACAGCCTTCCTAAGCACACCCTAAGCACACCCATAGCCATGCAATTTCCTGAAGTCAGAGCTCCTCGGTTGCTCCAGACCTCAGGATAATGTGTTGGGATGGAAGAGGCTGGGAAAGTCTTTTCTAAGACCCGTCAGCCCTGTCCCACCCATGGGACCTCCCCCCTGCCTCTCGCCCTTGCTAAGTCCATGCAGCCAGCTCTGCTGGAGGAAGGACACCAACAGGGCAACCTGTGTGCCCCCAGCAGAGCTCTGTAACCCATGGCTGACCCCTCCCCAGCCCCAGCGTGTGCTGCCGACGCTGCTCTGGCATTTTTATGAATGGCCGCGAGCCCGGGGAAGAGATTTGAGCATGGATTTGGAACAGCTCCATCCCTTCTACCGCACGCGCTAATCTTGACAAATGATCAGCGTGTGGCTTTCAAAACCAGAGATAAGGCCGTCCGAGCGCTTCGTGGCCCCGCACTTTCCCACGAAGAAAGGGCTCTTGTTCTCAGAGCACAACATCCTCTGCAGCCCCCGCTGCCCCCACCCCACGGAGAGGCTCCTGCAGTGAGCACCAGCCCAGCCCCTGTGTCCGTGAGACCCCTCCAAACCGACCAACAGGAGCTGTGGCTCATGCCTGCTCCATCCCCATCCTCAGCCCGTGCACTGGGAGCTGCGGTGTGGCAGAAGCGTGTTCTGGGAGTGGTGGGAGCTCCCAGACCCCCTGGCTGGGGACAGTGCTGCAGGATGGCTGCAGTGCCACCCGGATCGTGCTGGGAAAACTGGGTTCAGAAGTCTGCCCCTCCCACAGACACAGACCCACAGCCAGGGGAAAAGGCCTTGGCCAGCGCCAATGCAAAGACAGAGTTTCTATCCATGGGAATCACACCCTGGTCGACCTCTAAATTGGGCTGCTCTCTGGCCTTGCCACTTTGGGAAATGAATTTGTACTCTGAAAAACTCAGCCTGGAGAACGCTTGGGAAGACATCCAGTCCGCTTCCCTATTCCAAATTGATCCGGACAGACTTTTTTTTTATCTAACCTTTCCTTTAAGATCTCCAGATGGCTCAATATAGTCTCCTCCAGGGCTATATTAATTTTACTACTAGAATATCTCTTTTATTAATGCCCAGCTCAAATTCCTCTTGCTGAGGACATGCTCCTGTCCCTTTGGCATCATGGAGGGCATCTGTGTTCCACCATTGCACCTCACCACACCATGGTGGATGAGGATGAGGATGGATGGAGCCAAAGGATGGGGATGGGAGCAGTGCTGCAGAAGCCCTGGAGGAGCCTGGAACCTTCAACCTCAATGTAGGTCTGCAGAGGAGTGTGAGGTGCAGCCACCAAACATTGTACCCAGGTGGGAATGGGGGTCGGAGCTGTTGACTTGCTGACCCATGAAGGGAGGCAATTATTTGGCTGATGGGGCCATGCAAGTGTTAATTAAAAACCACATGAAGCAGAATGAGTCACTGTTCGGTGTCATCCGCTTGTGAAATTGGCCCTACTGCCCTGGGGCACAGCGGGCAACCACTGCCCATGGGACATGTGCTCCTGAGCTCCTATTGCTGGGCACCTCTGGGTGCAGTGATGGACACCTCTGGGTGCAGGGATGCTCACAGTGGCACCAATGGGCACAGCTCCCAATGCCAGGCCCCACTGCACATCCCCTGGTATCTGTAGGGCCTCTCTCCTATGTGTGTTCTTTGATGCCTTATGTGTATGAGTGAGTTGGAGGCTGAATCTATTTCCTCAGCTGGGACCAAAGCTTGGCTCTCTCAGCTCTGCCCAGATGCTTTGGGGCCCCCGGGGGCCCCCCCCCCCCAAAACAATTAGAGAATGGAGCAACATAAGGGAATTTATTCCCTCCGAGGACCTTGCTGTGAGATCTGGCAGCAAGTGACCCAACATTTCAGAAATGGGGTTGGACTGCAGGGACGGACAGACTGATAGGTGCCTACAGGCATGGCGACTCACACCTCCTTTCCATGGGAGCAGGCTGAGGGCTCCTGGCTGCCCTGCCATGCCCAGCTGAGGCTCCAGCAGCAGGGCCAGGGGCTGCAGAAACCGTGAAGTGGCAGCAGATGTTTTTTCCTGAGGCCTCAGACAGGCACATGCAGCACGCTGTTATTAAAACTGGATCGTGCTCCCTGCACACAGGGAAAAAAAATTAAGGCTGTATGCAAGGTTACTTCTCAGCTTTGGCATCCAGCATTAAGCCATGCAGGCTCGGTAGGCTTGTGTTTGTTTTTACAGAGCACTGCATAGACTGTCCCTCCTGCATATTTCAGCCTCCTGGGACAACGGGTTTCTTTTCTCACTCCCCCCCCACCCGATGGCAACGGCACAGCCTGAGGTCAAGAAAGCGCCGGCTCCCACAGCCGGGTGGTTATGGTGTGGTGTCAGGGCACCGCAGGGATCTGTTGCTGTGAGGTACCCGTGTGCGGGATAACGGGGATCTCAGGAGGGGTAGAAGGGCAGGGCGGCTTTCATAATACACCGAGAGAAGCTGAGGTTCTGCAGGCAAAGGGTCCCAGTGCAGCCCTGCCATGCAGCCGCACCCCTGGGCTGCACGTCTGGGTACCTGGTGAAACAAACGGGGAGCCTGGAACTAAAGGCGAATCTTCACGGGA